ATATATGAGCTGTTTTACTTTCCAAATTATTTTAATTTCTGCCTGTCCTGTCCTGAGATTTACACAGCTCTGTCAGACAACACCACAAGGTATGGGACCTAGCTGCTTTAAATGCAGTAAAGTAATACAGTTTGGTCACCTCCTTGCCCCTAGCTTGAGATTGTACAAAGAGCAAGCAGCAGACTGATGAATCATCCATGTACCCGCTCAGCTCTCCTTCTGTCAGCATGTTTCTTGACTGCACATGTACATACAGTAGAGACTGGCTGGCTCAGAGTAATGATCCTCCTATTCCCAGTGTGAGTGCTGCTTTACAGAGGATTACAATGGGTTGATGCCAACTCAAATTCAGGTATTTACATCAGCTGCATTTAAAAATACATTTATTGGGTTTTTTAAGTGTATATAAAGCCAATTTTAGGTTTTAGATTTTTTTTTGAACAGGGAAGGGTTAAATAGCCTCCCCCTATCAAGTTATTATTTGTTCCTGCTGGGAAAATTTCTATTAACTTCCTGTCCCGAAGACTCAACAGGAAATTAAATGTGATCTCTCTAAAGTGAACCTAGTTCCCATCTTAGAGAGTAGTCATAAGAACAGGTGTCTCAGTTGTAATTTTGTATCATTGGTGACAGCCACCACCAAGCAAGGGTAACTTTCCCTAATGGAAACAATGACAGCAATAAAAAACAGAGGTTCTAACACTCCCCGTCCTATAAAAAAAAGGTAGAAGGTTTAAGCTATAGATACACTTTAAACAAACACTAATCGGTATTAATGCTTTCTGACATGTCCTCTCCTTTGTGTTAACCAGAGTACAGCAGGAGAAGAGAAGCCCTTTATTCTTGCCGAACACTTGGAAAAAATAAACAGGTACAAGATATAATTCTGTCTGTCTGTCTACCTAAACTTTTGTCTAAGGCAAAGGGCAAAATCGGTGCATCCTATTCAAACCAATGCAGGCTCCTAAAGTTCAGGCAAGTTTACAAAAGATCTATGAGTGTATATAAACTAAAATACACTTTAGTGCATAAAAAGCATTTTGGAAGGGCAAAAAAAATGTTTTTGTTATTGAAAATGAAGCGATTAGGTTACTCGAGGGCAGGGGCGGACTGGGCCGGGAGGCAGGGAGGCAATTGCCCCCCGGGCCTCTCTGCTTTTTAGGGCCCCCCGCGGGCGGCCCTCTACAGTGCCTGATCCAGGAGGTAATTAGAGAGCTAGAGAGCAGGAGGTCTTGTGAGGAGCAGAGAGGACGGTTTGGGTGATATTTTGAGATGAGGTCAGTGATGTAGGTTAGGGTGGAGTTGTAGATGGCGTTGTATGTTGTTGTTAGTATTTTGAATTTTATTAGTTGGGCAAATGGGAGCCAGTGGAGGGATTGGCAGAGAGGGGCGGCAGACACTGAACGGTTGGTAAGGTGGATGAGTCTGGCAGCAGCATTCTTTGATTTTTTTTCCTTTCCTGCAAGCGTAAATACTGTAAAAAAAGACAGAAGTGACTTGGTCCAGCTAGTTCCTATCTGAAAGTTGATAGACAATTCAATCATAATTAGCTGATATTGGTCAAATGTCCTAGTTATTTTGATTTAAAAATACAGTATCAATACAGTAGCAAGAATTTTGGTTACAAATGTTTGAATGTAAATATATACATTTTGGACTCACATTCTGATAGGATGGCAGGGTTGATGAAACTTAAGAAAACAATGAATGCCATTGGAACTATATAAGATACTGCTCATTTTGTGCTTTTTTAATGGTAGTTTGCGAATGTTTTCTTTAGTAAGTTATTTTGTATATAGTGTACAATAATGTAGGGATGATTGTATGTGTGTGCTTGGATATGGGAGATCCCTTGACCCAGCCAGTAAATCAAATGCTAATAGTTCTGCCAAATCTATTTTTAAGGTTTGACTTGTTCACATTTAGGTTAATTGCAGTTAAAATTGTAATATAGTGAGGGGAATTTATCAAAACTGGAGCAAATTGAATCTGGAGCAGTTGCCCATGGCAACCAATCAGCATCTCTCTTCAGTAAACCCAGGAAAGATTTGAAAATGAGACAGAGAAGCTGATTGGGTGCAGTGCAAATCTGCTCCAGATTTTGTCTGCTCCAGTTTTGATAAATTCCCCCCAAAATGTTCACTGAGGTTGGGGGGAGTAAGGCCTGCCAAAAGTAGGTGTTAAACTCCTGAAATACAGATGGGGCAAGTCAGTATGATAAAATTTACAATTGCATGGCATTTAGGTTTAGAGGAAGGCTGAATTATGTAATCCTTAGGCTAAGGACACATTGTATGATTAGACCATTGACTTCCACATTCATTAATCAGATCAGAACATTTACCAATGACTTCCACTTTCAGCAATCATCAGCTTAGTGGGGTATTGTAAAGCTGAAATTGCCAATAACAAATGGCTGCCTTTTTACTTGAATCCCTATTAAATGCTGTAGTTACATCTGGGTTAGTGTACATGATCTTCAGGTTTAGAAGCAAATCACATGCAGCATACATGTAGGACCTTTCAGGGGAAACACATACATCTGAAAAAAATCTTAGATTCATTTGGGTTGCAAATATTTGTGTAGCCTAGCTCACACCTTACAGTCAAAGACTATGAGTTCATGGGAGCTGTAATGTAATCATGGATGCCACTATCAAATTACAAAGTGCATATAGAGATATCACTGGCACAACATTAACAAGCAATAGTCTCTACCTGCCTGAAGAAGAGATCCTCAGGGGCCCCAAAACTTTGCTCTGTTTTGTATTGGCGAATAAATTGTTTGCTTGACTGCCAATTGTTCTTGACTGCCAGTGACATCTCCACAGATGCCATTTGAAACTGTTTTTTGAGGGATCTGGAATGCAATGTTTGAAGTCTGAACTGGACTTTATAAACATGTATTCTTGCTTTTGCCATGCCTCACTTTTCTTTTTATGCCTCCATAAAAGGAAAGTAAGGAATGCCAAAAGCAAAACAAGTTGGTTTTGGAAGCAAAACACAAATGCTCCCGTACACTAGCTCTTGATTTGTTCCTTTAAGGTAAATCGAGATTTCATAGTCTCATCCCACATTCATTTATTGTAAATATTAAATCACAAAAAGTTAGATTAAAGGGCTAGTCCACCCAAAAGTAATGCATCTGCTATAGGTGGGGTTTGTTAGACACCCAGTGGTTTCTTAGATCTCTTAAGGTCTCTAGTGATAATAAGTGATGAGATCTCCTTGCCATAATTCCTGGCTATGTTTAAAGCCAGAGCAAAGCTTTGGGTGTTCTCACCTACCTTTTTGTGCTCCAATCCATCCTGTTGCATTTTCTATCATTTTAAAACTTCTTGGTTTTTGTCTTGGTAGGTGTGCAAATCTGGGATCTCAAGCATGGGCTTCTTACTAAATCCTTAAGACTTATAATAAACTGTTAGGTTATCTTAACTCTGCAACACCAAGCAAAAAAACTAAAATATCAGTTTTGGGTGTATGGACTCTTTCCTGTATGAACTATGCACGATATTGTTTAAAAAAGTTTACCCAATTTTTTTGATTGGAAAAAGATTGTAGACATAGGGCAACGTACTACTTAAATGGACACTACTATCAAAAAAACAAATACATGATATGTAGTATATAAGCAGCACAAAGTTTGTTTTACATGTCTGCAAATCCATTTTAATAAGAGTTGGCATTTGCTAATTGTATGGGCGGAAGCAGACAGATACTTTTAAGGCTTCCACTTGATGGAATTAAAATGTAGACTGGCAAAATCTATCAGCACTCTAAGCCTTACAGTTAATCAGCAGTTCCTAAAACCTTTTTAAATCTTTACTTCCCTTCACTCAAGCATAACAATCTCCAGCTTGGAAATGACTGCTGTGACACCACTGTGAAGAAAAAAAAAATGAGTATAAATGTTTATAAACTGAAAACATTGTATTGGTTAGATGAAATAATGATGCGTTTGTCTGCACGCTTTTCTTTGCTTTCTTTACTCCAACGTTACATAGATATGCTGGGAATGGTAACAAATCACATTAAACATGGGCTTCATTCCACTCTAGATATGGTCAGGACCAGAAAACACAGCTCTACCTAAGTATAAAAAAAATAAAGACTGGGTTTATTCACCCACTAGATCTCCATGGGCATCCCCTTTAGGCTTGTACACTGCTGTGCCATTGTTTTATATTCCTCAGTACATATTGCATGAAATACTGTTGCTGCTTCTCACCTGAATCCGGTTGCCACTTTATACGTGCTAGCAAAAGTGTGCCCATTCCAGAACAGGCAATGGTGGTGATGTTACAAACTATGTTAATTAAGTGTTTAAGCGGGCAGTGTGTGAAGGGGAGTAATGTGGAGGGTATGGCAGTGGGCAGTATGTGTAGAGGAGGAGTGCGGAAGGTATGGCAGTGGGCAGTGTGGTCAAGACAGGTGTGCTGAGGTTATAACAGTAGGCATTATGTGCAGGGGAGGGGTGCAGAGGGTATGACAGTGGGCATATGTGTAGGGCAGGAGTGTAGAAAGTATGAGAGTCGACATTAAGTGTAGGGGAGGAGTGTTGAGAATATGACAGAAGGCAGTATGTGTAGGGGAGGAGTGTGGAGTGTATAACAGTAGGAAGTATGTGTAGAAGAGGAGTGTTGAGGATATGAAAGTAGGCAGTATGTGTAGGGGGAGGAGTGTGGACTCTATGACAGTAGGCAGCATGTGTAGAAGAGAAGTGTGGAGGGTATCACAGTAGGCAGTATGTGTTTAAGAGGAGTGTGGAGGATATGACGGTAGGCAGTATGTGTAGGGGAGGCGTGTGGAGGGTATGTCAGTGGGCAGTATGTATAGAAGAGAAGTATGGAGGGTATGACATTAGGCAGTATGTTTAGGGGAGGAGTGTGGAGGATATGACAGTAGGCAGTATGTGTAGGGGAGGAGTGTGGAGAGTATGATAGTAGGCACTATGTGTAGGGGAGGAGTGTGGAGGGTATGACAGTAGGCAGTACGTGTAGAAGAGGAGTATGGAGGGACACATATGCCAATAAAAACCTGACAGAGGCTCAACCCTCCCCTGCTCTGTCCAAAACAAAATAAAACATTTTGGCTGGTATGTGGCTTTACATATACTGAATAAATCTCCTGGTAAATGAATGTTCTAATAATGTTTATTTTACCTAGTCTGTTTGCAGCAAACAGTGTTGAAGAAATATTTGAGAATTTGAAGAAAGATGGTTCACCTTTTGCTCAACAGCAGCTGCAGGTAAATCTGTTTGAAGTTTTGTCTTTACTTTCTGTTATTTTGTAAAAAAATTTATACAATTTTGGCCAAAGGTTTTAGTTCTTCACCTTTTCCCATGGAATCCTAAATTCATCACAAAGAATTTGCTATGAAGAAAGTTGAAACTGACACGATTCTTTATCCCATAAGTCAAATAACAGACACTTTGCTTTTGCTTTATGACTTAAAGCAGAACTCCAGGGAAAAACAATCTTAACCCTTGCAGTGGGGAGACTTTTATCCTAGACACGTTTGTGTCTAGGTTAACAAAATAAGTTATACTCACCGGATCCTCGGAGGGGGCTTGTTCTTAGATTGGTTCCTTCCGCCTCGCCTCAGTATATTAGACCCCAGATGTCTCCCCTGCTCTTCATTGCAGAAAATGGAGCACAGTTTTGTGCTCGATCTCCTGTGCAGCCCAGCTTGTGACAGCTGAGACAGTAATCTTTGTGAGTACTCCTGTCTCACTGATCACACAGGGCAGTTCGGAGAATGGATGTTCTCTGGTCTGCTCCCTGCTCTCCATCCTAAAGTCATTTGCCATGGTCCCAGGTCCCCCAGGAGAGCGGGTGACACCAAAAACCATGGTGGGGTGGTGTCGTCGGGGGTGGGGCAAGCAGCCTGCTACAAGTGATCTGGGTGGCTGTACAAAACGGTGGCTCTCTGGCTCTAAACTCAGCCCTGCTTGCCCACAACAGGGCGAAATGTAGAGAAAAGCCACCTGCCAATGGCACAGAACTGCATGTCCCAGGCGTTGGGTGATAGAATTTGCGCTAAAGGAGAATTGTAACACTGTGTTTCCCTCCACAATGTCTTGATAATATTCTGATTCCATAGTGCCCTGCACAGATTTAAGGTACCCTGTGTCAAAGGCAGCAAAACAACCTCGTTACATTATGGAGTCCCCCCCCCCTGTTTAACAGTAAAGATAGAATTATTTTCTTTAACCCCTTCGTGACTGACGACGTACAGTGTACGTCGCCAGCATCGGGGCTGTTTAAACAGACTCCCGGCGACTACTTTTTCTGCTGTGAATATAGAGCTGCTGTGACTTTCCAAAAAGCTTTAAAAGCTCTCCTTGAAACAGCTTGCTCAATCTGCTTCTTTTCCAGCCAGAGCAGCCTGGGTTTGACAGCCCTGAGCACTTCCAGGCGCATACTATCTAAAGGAGATCAATAAACAAATATTTTGCTTCACCCTTGTAGGTCCCAGGCACCCAGGAGGGACAGGTGAGCCCAGCATGCAAGGCAGGGGCTGGCACCTTTTCCTACATGTACATGACCAAATTAATTCTGTAAGAAAGCACAATCAGCTCTTGAACATGTAAACAAACAGAGGCTGCACTAGCGTTTGTTTACTGCCTCACCATAATACACATGGCAGTAGCAGTAAAAGAGTTAAAACTCCTGCCAGGTTATTTTTTCCTTCCTCTATACCATTGGGTAATTTTTCCTTTACTTCCTGTCCCAAAGATGCAAAAGGAAATCAGTGGAAATCTCTCAGTGAGTAGAATTTCACTCTTTGGCAGTCGTCCCCATTTAAATATTTCCCCTTGCCTCTTGTTCTGGGGACAAATGTAAATATTGAATTTCCCCTTTGGTTTTAGTGACATTGTTCATCAGTGCAGATAGGTGAATCTCCCCAATGGAGGCTTTACCAGCAATAAAAACTAGGGCTGTCCCGATACCACTTTTTCAAGACCAAGTACAAGTACTGTCCCTCATGTACTTTTTTTTTTTTTATTATTTTAATCTTTTTTTAATTTTGCATTTATGACACATATAAACAGGACACTAACATAGTGCCTCAATTACATAATAAGCATACAATACGGCATAACATATGCCCAAAATTACATAGTATGCATTAACAATCCCCGATCCGCATCCCCCCCTCCCCCAGGCACATTACGGATCCCTGATACTCTAGAATCCTACCTACTCTCCTAGAACTCCCTCTAGAATGGATGCGTCATTAATTAAATCTATGTAGCATCTTCCCTTTATTGAGCATACAGGCGAGCTACTAACCAGCAGTAGGGGGAACCCCACATTCACATCCACTCACCCAGTACCACCTCTTCTGAGGTCTGTAGGAGGTGGAAAGTGAAACCGGGAAGCCCCCATGAGGATATATACATGCCAAAAACCTCGCCAGGACTATCCACTCAGTTTCCCAGCGTAGCAGTGGACTCTATCCAACCAGACCAAATTTTGTCAAACTTTTGAGGACACCCTCTGTTAGCATACGTCACTTTGTGTAATGGCAGGGAGGCATTGACTATTGACTTCCATGCTCCCAGGGTAGGCGGCTCCGGTTTCCTCCAGTGTAGAACCAGGAGTTTCCTGGCATAAAACAATAGATAAGTTAAGAGTGTACGTGACGCCACTGAGGGAACAAGGTCATCTATGATGCCCAACACACAGGTTTTAATAGTCATTGGAAGTGGAGGGCGCAGGAGATCCGCAACCACACCAGCGATCCCCTTCCAATATTCCTGAATTTTAGGACATGACCATAGTACATGGATGAGATCAGCTGGTTCATAGGGGCACCGCCAACAGGTAGCCGTTTCAGAGGAACGCATCCTAGCCAGTCTTGCTGGTGTAAAATATGCTCTGTGGACTATTTTATATTGGATTAATCTATCCCTTGCGGAAATCAAAGTGATCATAGGGGTGTCCCAGATCTCTTCCTCATCTCCCTGATCCAACTCCGGGCAGTCATTCCTCCAGGCCCTCTGGCACCCCTCCAAGGATTCCCTCCCCCTGAGCGACAGTAATTTATATATTGTCGACAAAGAATTGACAAGCCCGTCCGTGCGGAGTACGGAGTCAATCCTAGAAACAGAGAGGGTCAGACGGCCCCCAGAGAACTGTGCAGAAAAAGCATGGCGCAGTTGGAAGTAGCGGAACAAATAGCTATTAGGCAAATGGTGTGCTGATCTGAGGTCCTCAAATGATCTCAGACCCCCATCATGTAATATGTCACTTAATGTAAGTATCTTCCTAGAGGTCCATACCACTGGGTCTAATATAGTTGCAAAATGACTGAGGTGAGGGTTTCTCCATAAGGGTGTATGCGGGGAGAATGTCAGTCCAGGCAACGTAACTCATCCCTCTAGTACATTCCAGGCCATTATGACCGCCCTCATGGACGGTGTCTGATGATGCGGGGAGTGCCTACCCCTATATACCAGGTGTCCAAGGGCTTCATAGAATTCTACTAAGACAGCCTCCAAAGTGACTGCGGGGTCCAGGTCCCGCATCGTGAGCCACTTGTGGGCGACCGTTAACTGACCGGCCAGGATATAAAAATAAAAGTTAGGGCCGCTAACCCTCCCTCCCCACAGGACAGCTGTAGGACTGAAAGTTTGATTCTACATGCCCTCCCATTACAAAGGAACTCTGAGAGCAGGGTGTCAATTGTTCTAAAGATCCTCTTCGGGATCCACACTGGTGAGTTACGAAGGGTTTATAGCAGTAACGGGAGTAATTTCATCTTAATCAGATTAACTCTGCCAATCAGGGATAGAGGTAAGTTCTTCCAAGCTGAGAGACGGCTTTTGAACTGGGCAATGACCGGGGAGACATTGAGAGTCATAAATTCTGCGACAGAGGTAGAAATCGTCAGGCAAAATATTTGAGTGCTGAGACCTGTTGCAGTTGTGCATACTGCGATATTGTGGAGCGATTCAATGGGTCTAAGGGGAGATATTGGGATTTGTTCCAGTTAACAGACAGCCCTGAGTATGTAGTGAATCTTTGTAAAATACCAAGGGACTCTACCAGCAACTGACCCATATCAGCAAGGAACAATATCATGTTGTCTGCATATAAGGCCACCCTTTCCTCCAACCCTCCTACGCAGAGACCCCGGATTACCTTGGACTGAGGGCACTTGCTATTGGTTCAATCGCCAGAGAAAACAGACCAGGGGATAGCGAGCATCCCTGTCTTGTACCCCGTAGGATCGGAAAACTCGAAGAGAGTGCCGCCCCCATCTTAATGGCAGCTCTAGGTTGATTATAGAGGATAGTCACCCACTTACAGAAGGTGGGGCCAAATCCCAATTTTATTAGTACAGTCTGCAAATAGTACCAGTCTACAGAGTCAAGAGCCTTTTCAAGGTCTAAGGAGACTATAGCTCTATATATGCGTCTCAGGTTGATGTCAGTAGACTTCTGGGGAATAAATCCGGTCTGGTCTGGGGAGACTACACTGGCAATGACTCGTGACAGTCTGGTGGCAAGAATCTTCGTCAGTATCTTTAGATCCATATTAAGGAGCGAGATTGGTCTGTAGGAGGAACATAATAACGGGTCCTTATGAGGTTTGGCTATAAGGACCAGGTGGGCATCATACATAGAAGGGTTAACTCCTGAGTTTAGTGTCGCTAATATACAGTCACCAGCCACTTTATTAGGTACACTTTGCTAGTACCGTGTTGGACCCCTTTTTGCCTTCAGAACTACCTTAATTCTTCATGGCATAGATTCAACAAGGTGTTGGAAACATTCCTCAGAGATTTTGGTCCATATTGACATGATGGCATCACGGGCCCAACGTGTGCCAAGAAAATATCCCCCACATCATTACACCACCTTCATCCTGAACTGTTGGTACAAAACAGGATGGATCCATGCTTTCATGTTGTTTACACCAAATTCTGACCCTACAATCTGAATGTCGCAGCTGAAATCGAGACTCATCAGACCAGGCAATGTTTTTCCAATCTCCTATTGTCCAATTTTGGTGAGGCTGCGCGAATTGTAGCCTCCGTTTCCTGTTCTTAGCTGACAGGAGTGGCACCTGGTGTGGTCTTCTGCTGCTGTAGCCCATCTGAATCAAGGTTCGACGTGTTGTGCGTTCAGAGATGGTATTCTGCATACCTTGGTTGTAACGAGTAGTTTTTAAGTTACTGTTGCCTTTCCATCATCTCTAACCAGTCTGCCCATTCTCCTCTGATATCAACAAAGCATT